AACTTGAACCTTGTTCTTTCTTTTTTTGGAGATCCGTTACGGCTCTAGCTAGTTATCACATCTCCAGCTCCCCCAAAGGCTAACTCAAAAGTTCTTGTTTTTTTTTTGAAAAAAAGGCTTTTTTCTTTCCTAATCGAAATTCACAGTTAATATCAATTGTCTCATATAGTTCTAAAAGTCGATTTTCACCTGTGTCGGGAATTCTATTGTTCTCAAACTGTTGGCAAATCGGAAGCCAACAAAACAGTGAAAAGTCGAACAAAAAACGAAAAACGACTGTTTGTTCAGTTCAAACGGTTTTTGAGCGGAACCAGTAGCTCTGGTATTTTTCCATTTTTCCTGTATATTTTCCCAATTTACTTTCTAGTCTCTAATTATATTCCAAAATGTTTGGTTTGCTGTCAAGCTTGTTACAAAAGTCTCCAAGACGGTAAGTCCATCAAACCCAGGCAGATGTTCCTTGTCATCTCCGGGTGATCCATCATACAGCTCTCAGTGAATAATTTGGTCTCTCTTTTCTCTATTTTCTAATTGCTTCTTTCTTTCCTCACTTTTTGCTATTTTTCTTTCATCTTGGATTCTCGATTCAAAATTCGTTCAAAAAAGTACTTTCCTAAATTGAGCTCTAGTATCTGATTGAATTTACTAACTATCTCTGTCATACACGCACGCGCCTTAACATTTAGTTAGTTGCAAAGTCGTAAGAGCAAGAGAGAAGATATCAAATTTCGAGGAAGAGCGGTTTTCCAACCAACCCAAAAATGTGTTTCCGTGCCGCCGGGGCGCGCTTCTCAATCGCTTCCATCCTTTGTCGGGAGTGGCCGGAGGAGGAAGGATGCACAAGTGCGTGTGTTTGTGTATGCACAGGCCTTGGGAAGAAGAATGGTAGAATTTTGGAATGTCAACACTATGCATGTTTTTCGTGAGAAGCTCTCTCAGACGAATTTTTGCATATTTTTCGAATTTCTAGTTAGTGTTAAAAGTTCATTAATCAATTAGGCAACTTTGAAAGCCTGAAAAAAGAGATTCAGAACTTTTCAATTTGTTTGGCAAATTTCAGAGAATTTTCAATAGAAATAGAGCTTCAGTTTAGTAGTTGACAAGTTTTAAGGGAAAATTCGAAAAACCGATATGAGCGCAGCTTGCCGCATTTCCTCGAATTGATGCAGCCCACCCAAACCGTCAACTTTGAGCTCAATTGGCTCGATTACTGTGAAACTAATCAAAACTTTGTTAACTGAGAAATTGTTCATTATAATATCACCAATATTTTATCTGTTCACAAATTTTGGATATCGTTCACAGGAGTCGAGATAAATGAGCTCAAAGTTGACATTTGGGTGAGCTTTCAAAAAAAAAATTCTGATTAATTGATTTTTGAATGTATAATTCTGAGTTCCCATGCCTTTCTAAAAATTCCCATATCTTTAAATATGTTTGCTTTATCTTAAAACTCCCACAACTTCCTCTGATAGCAGCCCACCCAATCCTCCAACTTTAAGCTCAATTATCTCAACTTCTACAATACATATTAACAATTTGTCAACTGATAAATTATTTACCATATTCTAACCAATGTTTTATCAGTTGAAAAGTTTTTGACATCTTTCACAGGAATCGAGATAACTGGGCTCAAAGTTGACGGTTTGGGTGGGCTGAAAAGGAAAAAAATACGGTAATCTGTTTTTTGTTTCAAATAAATAACAAAAATCATGTTTAGTTGATTTTTGAGTATGCAATTCTTCATTCCCATGCTTTTCTGAATTTCCCATTCTTCCTGATATGTTTTTTCCTGAAAATTCCCATAACTTATTTTTTCCTTTCCTATTCTTACTCCGTTTCTCGTTTTCCCAAAAATGTTAAAAATGATTCCCTCCAATTCGCTCGAAACGATCTTTCTAATTTCCCTTCCCTTCTCCAAATTAGCACAAATCAAGCTGCTTTTTTCCATTTCTTCTCAAAAAATAGTATCTTCCATACACCCACACTCTCCTTCTCCATCCCCCATCCTTCAAACCCTATTTTTTCATAGATTCTCTATTAATTGGCAAAGATTTCAATCCTTCCCTTCCATACCACGTTTTCAAGACCAATTTCAGCCAATTTAAAACAACTTTTTTGTAGTTTTAGGGCTGAAAAAGGATGACACATTCTAGAAGAACAAGAATAGGAAGGTTATTCTTCGATATTTCGAAAAACAATATGAGCTAATTAGAAACCATTATTTTCATGATTTTTGGAGAAGAAGGAGTACGGTAGCCTAAAAAGAAACATACAGTGTTCAGTTATATATTTTTCAAATGTAACAAGCTAATTACCGCGTTTACTCTAATAGAAGACAACTCAAACCGTTTACTTTGAGCTCAATTATCTCAATTCCTAAAAATGATACAAATAATCCGTCAACTGATAAAATATTGGTGATATTTTGATGAACATTTTATCAGTTGACAAATTGTTGATATCTTTAACAGGAATTGAGAAAGTTGAGCTCAAAGTTGACGGTTTTGGTGGGCACAGGAAATACGGTGATAGATTTAAAAATGCTAATAATAACTTTCGAAAAAAAGTTTTTTTGGGCCTCAACATTTTTCTGGACCTTAAAAAATTATCTGAAAAAATATAGAAATTTCTCGTTGTAAATTACAGACGTCGAGGAGACATGTTCAACCCAAACACATACATTCTCGCTTTCTTATCTATGATCGACTCTCGAACAAACAGATAGCAACATGTAATTGAGAAGTCAACACAAAATAGGGCTTGAATCAAAACCACGAGTTTCACACTCATTTCCTTTTTCTCGCCCTTTTTCTGTTCTTTCAATTTTTCAACCAGTACGTTACTACTTTTTAGCTTTTTTCTGGAATTTTCGGTGTCTCTCTAGTTTGACCTACTCTACATACAGAAAGATAGATGAATACTTATCAACTATTCTTTCAAAAAAAAGGAACAGAATGTGGAGATTGCTAGGAGCAACTAATTGAGCTACCAAGGGAGTGAGAATTATACAAGTTTTTTTTAAGTCGAAGAATCAGAATTTCTGAATGACGACTTTTGAAAAATGTAGAAAATTCAGATTCCCGCGCTTCTGGCATCTGGAAACCCATAAATAGCCTATTACAAAAACGATGGAATAATTTTTGTCTCGAAATAATTTTCAAAATTTTGAGAAAAAAACTGAAAATGAAATTCTACAATGCGTTCGTTTCTCTTTGAATTTTTATTAATTTTATTCCCCTTTTTCTATTTCTCCCAGTTTTCATTTTTTTTTCTAAAATTTCATACTGTTATGAAATTCCTTATACCGTATTTCATCTAATTGACGCCCGTCCAAACCGGTAATTTTGAGCTTAATTATCTCGATTCCTGTTGAAGATATCAAAAATTTGTCAATTGATAAATTATTTCTCATAATGTCACTAACAATTTCAATTACTGTAAAAGATATTTAAAATCCGTTGACTAATAAAATATTAGTGAAATTAGGATAAAAATTTTATCAGTTGAGAAAACTTTGATATCTTTCACAGAAATCGAGATAATTGAGCTCCAAGTGAACGGTTTTGATGGGCTTTAGCGTAAGTTCATCATAATCTAATTGTTCCGCTTTGAGCTCAATTATTTCGGTTTGTTAGAGACATATCAAAACTTTGTCAATTGATAAATTATTTTTCATGATATTACCAAAATTTTATCAATTGCCAAATTCTTGATGTCTTTCACAGAAATCGAGATAACTCAGCTCGAAGTTGACGGTTTCGGTGAGTTTTATCGTGAATTCATCGTCATCTAATTGCTGCAGTTTGGCCTCAATTATCTCGGTTGCTATCAGAGATATCAAAATTTTGTAAACTGGTAAAACATTTGTGATAATGTGCCCAAAGTTTTATCAGTTGACAGAATATTGATATCTTACACAGTAATCGAGATAATTGAGCTCAAAGTTGACGTTTCGGGTAGGATTTTATTAGAGGAAACAAGTCATATATAAGATCTCACTTTCATTCATTTCATATTTCAAATTCTGGATTATCCTATTCTTTCCTATTTTTTAGCTCAATTTCAATTTTTTCTTCTTTCCCTAGCCACCACCCGGCACCAACCGCGACCACCCATGTCGGAAACTTCTAAGACACCATGAAACCCAAAAAGAGAAATCAACTGGACACCTCATCCTCTATCAACACGCCGCTGACTCTCTTATCTTCTCCGTCAAAGGGATGCGCTGGAGGAATCAGTGGTGGTGCTGGATGGTGTCGGCGGCCAAGTCATTGGTGCACTAATGAGAGGGGAGAGGAATTTGAACTTGCGAAGTTGCCTAAAAAGGAAAAAAGGCAAAAAATGATTGGATATATTCTGGATAGGGGACAACATTCTTATCAAAATGATAAAAAGGAAAGTTGTTTGGAAACCGATGACTAAGAAGAATCGAGATGAATGGAAAAGCCACAGAAAGTCTCAGATAATTCGGTGGATCTGGAATCGACTACAAGGATTTTCCCCACGAAATATCCCCGGAACTTTTTGTATACTCCGGCCCCCCTCAAGAGGGGCCCTTCTCTCTTCCTCCCACTTTCCCATATTCAAATGCAGAAGTTCAAATTGAAAAAAAAAACATCGACAGGTGTGAAATTACAAAACAGAAGCCACCTGCTTCTCTCCCCGATGTTGTTCTTCAATGTTGTTCTTCGACTTGAATCAAAAAACAACATATTCTCACCTGTCCACCCTCTTTTTTTGTTTTTTTTTCTTTTTTTTTCTCCTCGGTTCCAAATCCGTTATGAAACATCTCCAGCAACGCTTGCTCTGAAACAACAGCTCTTTTGCTCACCCTTTCTTCTCCACAAACCTTCCAGAAGTGTTCCTTCCCTTCGGGGCGTGTCGCCATTCGACGTACGGTCCCAGTGGCGGCGCCGGCGACAAAGGACTCGGCAAGACACGCCCACTGCCCTGTCGGAGCAGTGATAGTTCACTTCATTTGGTCATTCGGCACAGAGATGCCGCGTATTCTACGCCGCTTCCCTCAATGCTGTATTCCACCAACTATTTGGGAGTCGAGCAGAGAGGACGGCCTCCAGGATGCCGTTTACTCTCAGATCAACCCCAATTGGACCTTCATACGGTTCTTCCTCATGTTCGCTGGCTATGATTTTGATAATGGAAAGGCTGTTGTAAAAGAGAAAGCCCAGTTTGTCAAAGCATACGTCCCCTACGATTTTCTGGATTCTTCACTGAATTCTTCTGGATTCTCAGTTGGAGAGTTGGACTCATCTACTGAGGACTACATGGAAATTCCCGCACCACCACCAACCATGGATGTCGTTTGCTCGGACTCTTCTCGTCAACAACCGGTCAGTGTTTTCTCTAGCATTCAGAAAACCGAAGAAGTTGTTTGCGAGTCCGACTCTGACATTCCATACGACGACTCTACATTTTCTGTGGATACATCGTTTGGTGAGGATGCCGAAAAGTCCCTACTAGAAGGTGTGGACCCCACTTCCAACTATGGCTACGCGATCGTCTACAACAAAAAGGTCTGGGAGCCTCCAAAGGGACCATGGTACACCGACGGAAACATTTATGAAGACATTGATGCCGATGATGAATCGGTCTACTTTGTGGTTGCCATCAAGAAGTACAAGAAGAAATACATGGACTCTAAATCTATGTCGAAAGAGGAGAAGAAGGAGAAGAAGGTCTTGGCTAAATTGGCGGAGAAGGAAAGAAAGCAATTGGAAAAGACGGTGAAAAATGAGGCCAAAAAACTGCACATGGAAATGAAGGCGGCATGCAAGAAAGAGTATGAGGAGAAGAAGAAATTGAAGAAGACCAAAAGGCGACCATGGTACAAACTGTTCAGGTTAGTGAAGGGAGCAAACTTTCCAAAAACAGTTTAGTTCATTGATGGGTCCATTCAACTTGATAGAGATAAAAAATTAAGCATACCGTGTTTTCTCTAGTAAAATTCCATCTATATATTCTCACTTTAAGCTCAATTATCTCAACTTCTTCAAGAGATAGCGAAAATCTGTCAACTGATAAAATGTTTGTCATAATATCACCATTATTTTATCAGTTGGCAGATTTTTGATATGGCTCTCAGGAACCGAGATAATTAGGCTCGAAGTGCAAGTGTTAAGGCGTTTAGATTAAGCTTAATAATTCGAGGTAACAACTGGCAGATACAAATTTTCCCATCACTAAATTTTCCTATACCTAAAGTAGTTACTAGATTCCTGGATCTGACATGTTAGAGCTTTGAAAATTCGGTCACTGCAGATTTACTGTAGCATTATGATTACTGTAGCATACTAGGCTTACTAGCTACCAGGCTTCAAAAATTCACCGTAGCTCCTTATTTCAATAAATTCAGATGTAGCTTCATTTTAATTTTTCAAAACAAACATATCTTTCCTGGTGTCCACCAAAATGATAGTATCTGAAGGGATACTGTATACACCAAATCATTGTACCTAGAGGGATACTGTAGACACCAAATCATTGTACCTAGAGGGATACTGTAGACACCATAGTCATAGTAACTAGAGGGTAACTGCAGCCAGCAGAGTCATTGTAATTTTTGGGATACTATAACCGCCAGAAACATTGTAACCAGAGGGATACGGTTGACACCAGAGTCATTTCAACTACTAAGATACTGTAGCCACCAAATTCATTGTAACAACATGAATACTGTAGCCACCAGAGTCACTGTAACTAAACGGATACCAGAGTCATTGTAAATTGAGAGGATACTGTAGCTCATTTTATTAATTTCGTCCAACTTTTCAGCTCCAACGATGACGACACAGCCTCAACGGACTCCTACTACACCTACATGTAATCATCAATGCAAGCCTTCTTCAGCGTCACTTCTAATTTTCTATCTTTCATCTTCAATAAATTTATGTATTATTAGTTTAGGATTTTTAAAATCTAGATTTAGAACAACGTAAGACCTATATTAGAAGGGTCAGGCCTTATATCATTCTCTGGTACTTCCAATGTGCCTTTCTAATACAGGTTTTATGGTAGCTTTTCCCTAATCTGACGCGTTTTTGGATTCGCAGAACTTCAAACAGTGTTGTACTGTGAGCGCTTCCTCTCCTTGTGTCCTCAGGCGGTTTCGATTCAAGTTATGATGGTTTCACACTTCTTCTTCTTCTTCTCCTTCTACAGAATTAGAAATCAAGCTAGTTTCTCTAGGTAAACTGCACGCGTTTCTTATGCAAAATCGATGAAGTATAGCTCATTTTCTGTACAAGATATCAAAAAAGGATCAACTAATAAAATGTTACTGATGTTATGATAAACATTTTATCAGTTGACGACTTTTTGATATCTTGCACCGGAATCGAGATAAATCGGCTCAAATTTAAAATTTAGGAGTGGCATTCAACTGTGTTCACGGTATTATCGAAATTGCCAAATGATTGATTTTTGCCCATATTTTCATTCCGGGACACCCAAAAATATCAATTCCCAGTGGATTATTCCCTCCCTATTTTTGAACACACTCGCCGAAATTCTTCTTCTCCGAACTCTCCCACGCTTTCTGTTCATTTCCGGCAACCCCCCACTCACCTAACAAGCGCATCTTATTGGTCTTTCTTCATCCCCTGACACGGTTCCCACTACATACCAATTACCAGTTAACGGGAGGAGTATATATGCAATGCACTCAACTGAAAAAAAGGAGCGCGTTATTATTATTACTATTATTCGTGTCACTCACTCTTTTATGCGACCTGGTGTCATCATCATAACTTTTCTACTATTTGACATTTCCCATATAGCCATCATATCATGTTGCTGTTTTCTCTTTCTTTTTTTTTCTGCTGCTTCAAAGTAGAAGGAAAAAAGATGATATGGGTTGATTGGCCAGGCACGGAGGTGATAATTGTCGGTGGGAGAAGAAATGGAAAGGACTGGGTGATAGAAGATGGATGAATGCACGTTTAACTTGACATATATCTTCTCATCCAAAGCAACCAATCTTGCAAATTCACACTTTTATATTTGATAGCTTGATTCCAAGCAGCTCAAACACCTGCTAAATTCCACCAAAAATTGATTTAAGAACTATCATATCAGATTCTTCCTGTTTCTTCTAACACAATGTGAAGTGTTTAACTTGATGTGTTCGTTGACATATGCAACACGTAGGAGACACTTATTACAACTTAACATCGGGTTTATCAATTCCACTATTTCCTCCTACTTCTTCTCCTCCTCCTCATCTTTCCTTTACTGCACTTCAAAAGTGCTTTGTCCCCCACATTTTTTCTTTTTCTTCCCATCATTATAATCTATTTGACTCTCATTTCCCTAGGTTTCACGCATTATTAACTACAATTTGAAGTTTCAATTTTTCGAAATAGGAAAAATTGAAAAAGTGCATTATCCTGGCTCTTGTGTGCTCCGTAGTCGCGTGCCTTCTAATTGAGAAATCTGATTATTTGACAAAAGAAGAGAAGAACTTTTTTCGGAGAAACCGAGCAAATGCGTTTTTTGATCAGAATTTGTTTTTTCTAGTATAAGAATTTTCAGAGAGTTGCAAAATTTCCGATAAGGATTTTTTTCCAAAAATCTGAATATTTTTTAGGAAATCTAGTCACCGTAAACACTCTAATAGAACGCCACCCGGAACGTCCACTTTGAGCCTATATATCTCACTTCATTCGAAAGATATCAAAAAGTTGTCAACCGATAAAATGTTTATCATGATATGAGCAACATTTAATCAGTTAACTACTTTTTGATATCTCTCACAGAAAATGAAATACATGGGCTCAAATTTGACGATTTGGGTGGCGTTCTATTAGAGTGATTACGGTAAATGTTAATTTCTGGATGGTTGGGAATCGAAAACTTTTAGAATTGGAACTTTTAGATTTTCCCGCATTTCATGCTTTAAAATTTTTGAGATATCTAAAAATTTGGGATTTTTGAGAATTTTCAAGCTGTAGAAATTTTAAAAATTCGATTTTCAAAACATTCAACAGTTTAAGTTTTAAAATTTAGTGAAATATAAAAAAATATGGATTTTTGGATTTTTAGAATTATTTAGATATTTTTGAATTTTTCTGGAAAGTTTCGAAATTTTTGGAAGTTCAAAACTTTTGGGAATTTGAACTTCTTTTTTTGAAATTTTCATATTTTGGAATATTTGAAAATTTTCTATAGAAGCTCAAATATCACTTGCGTTTTGGGCTCGATTATCTCAGTTTCTTCAAAAGATATCAAAAAGTTACCAACTGTTAAAACATTGGTGATATTATGATAAATAATTTATTAGTTGACAGATTTTTGATAGAACAGAGATAATTGAGCTTGAAGTGCACGTATTATGAGCTTCTAGTTGAGCAAATACGGTGTATGGATTCTCTGGGAACTGTGAAGATATGTTACATATGCCAGAAATCACAACCTAGTTTAGAAATTGGTTTATTCTTTGACATCTTTATTATTTTCCATCTTTTTTTCCAATGTCAGAAGTTCTCATCCCCTCACTCTATTTCTCGGAAAATAAGCTTCTTTCTATCACACATTCACATCTTTCTCAACTATTAGTACTATTAGCTGTACTTTTCTTTTTTATTCCATGTTGTTGTTGTTGCCTTCCGTCGCTCCTCCCCCTCTCCCAAATGCACTCTGCAAAATACCAACAACAAAAATAGTCGGAAGTCTAGGGGGCGGGCCTCCCATCGTAGTTTTGGGGCGTAGAGGCACACCAGACGACCCCCCACACCCACATCAGCGCCTCTCCTCCCCCATTTCACCACTCTTGTCGAGATTTTGGTGAAAAGCGAGTAAAATGCAATACATTACGAGACATTCTTCTCCGGGACCTCCCCCCTCCCTCAACTCTTTTTATTCTCACTTCCCGCGCGGGGCCTCTCTTTTTGTACATATTTGGCACTTCCGATCGTTTTATGTACTCTTTTGTGAGAGGGAAAGTTTCTTTCTTAATCCTTCTGAGAATTCTGTAAATTGAGTTATAGAGAAAGCAAAAACCAGCTTCAGAACATTTCTTACTTCGCTCTTCTATTTTTAGTTTTTTCTTTCCTTTCAGTTTCTCCTCCCCTATCTTTTTTTCAAACTTTAATCTAAAACTTTCACAGGAATACAGATGAGATGAGCCTCAAGGATTATGTCATATCGAAAACAGAAGTGATAGATGCTTGCAAAAAAGGCGAATATGATAAAGTTGCCCTGTTTCTCAGTTCCAAGCGAGGAAGGAAGATTCGAAGTGGTTTAAAGTAAGATTCTAGGCATTTGAGTTCTGAAGTAACCCCCTCAAAATTTAGATTCTTCACAACAAAATCCGATAGTCACTGGCTGACAGATTACAAGGATGAGAAGTCCGACTTCACACTTCTCCATCATGCAGTACTCGAGAATCAGAACCAGATTAGCAAGTTGTTGATGGACTATGAACCACTACTTATTTTGTGCAAAAGTACCAAAAACATACTACCAATCCACTTGGCTGCATGGAATGGAAATCTGGAGATTGTGAAGATGTTGCTGCTGCAGACGATGGAGAAGCCAGCAGATATTCTGAATGCTGTCAACATTTTCAATGAGACGCCGTTGCACCTGGCCGTTCAGAGAAGCCATATTGAAGTTGTATTTTATCTCATAAAGGTTGGTTTTGAAAGTTTCCTAGAATCTAAACTTCTCTAGAAAAACTCCCCCAACTTTGACTTAAAGCCAATTTATTGTAAAAAATCAAATAGAAGGAGGCCACAAAAACTGTCACCTTTGAACCCATTTATCCCGATTCCTGTAGAAGATATGGAATAGTGGTCCACCGACAGAATATTCACCATAATATCAAAAAAAATTGTCAGTTGACAACTTTTTGATATCTTTTACAGAAACCGAGATATATGGGTTCAAAGTTGAGAGTTCGGGGTGGTAAATCTATAAGAGCGTTAACAATATATCGAATTTTCCAGAAAAATGCCGATCCATTCATTCGAAACGAGAACAAAGAGAATGTGATCGACGTGGCTGCTCGAATCGGCTGTGCCGAAGCTATCAGAGCTCTCTGCGAGAAATGGCCAAAGTTCCCGGTCCAATCAGCTTATGACTCGCTTCGTGTCGGATCACCAGACATCAAACGTCCATTAATCTATCCGTTCCATCTTGCAGCCAAATACAATCATGTTGAGTGCATGAAAGTGAGTTGCTACTATTCTATTCATTATTCAGTCATTGAGAATAGCAAAAAGGGAGGAAGGGGGTAATGCAGAATAGGTTGTGTGTCATAGGTAGTAGCAGTTTATAAATAGAAAAAAAAAGTTGGGCACGGCTTTTGTTCTGGTAGCGTTAAGCAAACTTTTAATGAATGGAAAGCAGATGACGCCTTCCGTTTTTTTCTGATTACAAGATGACAATGATACGTCATTCGGTAAGTTGTAGGAAAGACGAGAATTTTAAAATTGTTTGCGAAGTAGTCTCTAGCAACGATGAATGTTTTTGATTATCATAAATTGAAAGAAAAATATTTAAAAAAATTTCCACTGGAGTGAAAATCACAAGACCACCGGGCATATTATCTGATCAGCCTATACACAACACATACGCATTTCCTGAGCCCTATCTGCGCATACACTGCGCATCATTTGGCCTCAACCTGTCTTATACCACCTGCGTATCTTCCCTCTCGCCATACTGTTGGTGTTGCCCCGTCTCGCCAGGTTATTGATCTGACCCGCACCATTTGTGTTACTTTTTTTCCCTTTTTAGGTTTTTTTTTGAATGTATGCTCTAGAAATGATTTCGAATAGTTTCGCCTGGTTTCCAAGGGTTTGGTCAGCAAAAATGCTAGTTAAAACGCTCAAAAATGAGTAATCGTACTTAGTAGGGCAAAAATCTCGATTCCGGGTACAAAATACCTGAAAATTTCGTATTTTGTACTCCCTAATTGTGAATTTTGTAAGCTTAAAGTACTTCTAACGTTCTGTTCCCTCGTTGTACCCTCCAATATATGTGTTAAAAATTTCCAGGAAAATTGAAAATTCTGCGACTTTGATAGACTGTTTTCCGCCGATTTTTGTCTCCAAAATCCAAAAATACATTTTCTATTCCAGGTTCTCCGCCAATATGGATTCTCAATCAACTACACCACCGAAGACGGCACTGCTCTCCACGTGGCATCGGCTTGCGGACAAGTTCAAGCGGTCGCTTGGCTCATAGAAAGCGGGGTCAATACGGAAATCAAAAATCAGCATGGCCAGACGGTTCTTCAAATGATAATCGATCTTCAAGAGAATCGCCGCAATGAAATCGCTCATTTTGTCAAGAATCCAGAAGGATGGAAGGAGTGTAGACAGATTATCGAAGGAATGGATCGTCGAGATTCGGGTAGAGAGACGGAAGGAAGTCAGAGTGACAACGAGCGGGAGGCAATTTGGCAGCCATTGCCAAGTCAGGCTAGTGGTACGTCTTAGGGGGACGAGATGAGAAAAAAATCGAAAATTGAATAATTTCAGTCCAAGTCTTCCCTGATCAACGCCGCAACAACCATGCCATCTACCAGCCGCCTTCAATCTCTGCCAGACTCCGTGATTTGTCGCCAGATGATTCTCCAGAAGCTCTGAACAGTGTCCGCTCTGAAGGGCCATACACCACTAACTCAATAAATCGTACCTGGAACAGTTCGATGTACGACCGAGCTCCACGAACCGGAAGATTCCCGTTGACATCACCAAGCTATCACACCAAACACTACTCGTGTCAGCGATCCAGTGATACACTTCCAACGCGCCTCAAAACTGTTCGGTCTAGGCCAACGGAGAAGATTGGTGAGTATATTTTGCGTTTTTTGTTAATAGGACTCTTATATTTCCTTTTTTCAGCGTCTGTTCTTCCTGGTGACAACTGCGCTTACAACTCCCCAACAAGATTTAACGAATGGCAGAAGAATCAGCTCACCGCTACTTGTAATCGTCCACCACCACCAGCTCCAGCCCCATATGACAATGTCCCTAACAACTCGGCGATTTTCGCACGACCAGGGTCACCTTTGGCAAGATCATCATCCCTACGAAGACAAACTGGATATTCAACTCTACCGAAGCCAACTACCTACACGCCAAAAATCCCTGATCATTCACGTCCGAACCTAAATGAGGCATTTATCCAAGAGCCAGCACTGGATAGAACACTGGAAAGACAACTGCAGCGCCATCGTGAGTCAAACTTAAAGAAGAAATTGAGAATCAATATGATATTTTTCAGCATTCTCCTTATCCCGTACCACATGTGACCGAGAAGAGTCTCTAGGCCTCACTCAAAGTCCAAGATTGGATACCAGAGCCAGCAGTGTGACATCTTCTCTGACCTACGCATGCTCTACACTCGACAAAGAAAAGTTCAACCGAGAAAGGGATAATGGAAGAGCACCACTTGCGATGCCAGAGGAGATTACTGGATCAGTAACTGGAAGTGTCATTTATGGACATGGGCACACTGTGGATAAAGATAACAATGTCACCGCCATCTTCCTTGATGATCTCCACAAACCAACGACAGCTTCTGGCGAAAGTCCACCATCTCCAAACACATCGAAGGCGTTTATTTTCGACGCACTCTGTGGAAAATCTCGTCTTATCGATTCGACAACCTCCAACTTTTTCTCTGAATTCTCTTCGACATCCAGCAACAGTAGCAGTGAATCCACGTCAAAAGTTCAGATGAACAGCAGCAGTTACGTGGAGCCTGAAGAGCCGGTGAGAATTCGACGACAGAATGGAACGACAAATCTGATTCTCAACTCGCTGTCACCATCAGACAACTTGTCGTCACCGTCATCTGATCAGAAGTCAGACACGACGACCAGTGAGGAGCCGAGCTGGGATAGGGTATGTGTTTTTGAAAATTAGATGGGAGATATTCTGAAGAAAATGTGTATAATTTCGATTTTTGGTGTAGTCGCCCTCTATCAGTTGAATTTTCAGTTGATAATTAATTTTTTTAATTAGCTCAAAATTTTTTAGTTGCATTTCTTTGGTATACAGGTGGAAAGTGTCTTCGACTCGTTCGGTGCCGCTCCGTGTCGTGAAAGTGTGTTCGAGCGCGAGTACGAGCCCCGTGTAGCCGTCTATCTCCGTGATCGTGGCTCAAAAGCGCTGAGCGTCACTCTCGTCGAGGATGAGCTCAGAGATCAAAAATCGCTTTTTATTAAAAAGGTATTTCTCGGTTCTTTTTGTTAAATTTAGAGAAATAGAGGGACACTGGAAAAAGATAAATTTCTATTTCAGCAACCGAAAACAATCATCGAGTGGTTGGAAAGCGATGTGATGCTAGCTCCAGGGCAAGCTGCTGCAGTTGGAACTCTCCTTCAGAATAATGGTTATGATAAGATGGATCAGTTGAAGGGAACCATCAACAGAGGCATTCTCACTGAGATTGGAGTCGACGATGTTACCAAATTCAAGATTATGTCAGAGCTGGATAGGCTCACAGATGCGGTTGCAAGTGCAGGCGAGTTTAGAGATAATCATAGAAAGTCAATATAACAGAAACTTCCTTAATTAGCCCACAAAGGGCGTAACATATAAAATCGGCGCTCAAAAATAAACATTAACGAGTATTTCTCAATTTATTGAAATTCCGATCACTTACACACTCGTAATGGTGAAAAACTTGAAAAACGAGAGGAATTTCTTGCCGGAAACATCCGTGTTCAAATTGTAACGATATTTACGACGGTCCGTAATCTAATGGGGTTATTCAGTGAGAAGCAATTTAAAAGCAATTCAGAATTGCTGGTTTTTTTTTCCTTATGCAGAAAGCAGAAAACCCAGCAATTTTGCTGAGGCCGCGCCAGAGAAATTGCTGGAGTTTTCACCGTAAAACCTGTAATAAAAGGGTCCCCATACTGTCAACTTTGATCTTAATTTTCTCCATTCCTATGCAAGCTATCAAAACTGTGTCAACGAACAAAACATCACTGATATTATGGTAAACAATTTATCAGTTGACAGATTTTTGATATCTTCGACACGACCGAAGAGAAATTAGCTCAAACTTCACAATGTTGAGGCTCTCCTATTGCAGGTTTCTCGCTCACTCCATTTTTCAAACTTTCTAGAACTCACTTTGAATTTCTCATCGAAAATGGTAATACCATTACAAGTCAAGTCCAACGTGACACGAGGAATCGTCTCCCAATCAATAATCGACTCTTTGATAGCTGTCATAGCAACGTGCGCCTCATCAGAACAATCCGTCTCTCCAATCTCCTGAACGCCAAGATGGTGAGCACGATAGACAACGTTTCCTTGGAGCAGCTTGTTCTTGATCTTGTCGAAATCACCCTGCGGGCACTCGGCACACGCTTGCCTGCAACAAATAGGTGTTACTCTAAAAATTCTATGAAATCTCACTGTCTCGAAGTTCTTGGAGGAAGTGGTGGTGGTGGCGACATGAGAGGCTTCATCGTCTGCAGACGATTGTTATACTCTTGTCGCTTCTCATCCTCCGCTTTCTTGAAGGAATGCAGGATACGAGCAATGTGTCCGGGGCGGGTGATGCCGAGTTGCTGGAAAAAACTTAAGTTTAGTTCCAGGAACAGAGGAGCGAGTTGTACCATTAGCTTCGCAGTGTCCCAATCAATTTCAGTCAGCTTTGTCATGTGCTTGTAGCCAGCTGCGACAAAGTTGGAGATGTAGTCTTGGAGTCCAATGAAGTTGAGCCATTCACTGACATAGAAGAAGCGTCCTGAACATACAAGAAATTGGTTTTTAGAAACATTTTGCAGAGATTTTGATTTCAACTTTTTGCTGATTTTAAACTCGAGGCGTTTCTTCAATGTAGCCAAGTCGCCCGGGGTAACATTTTACAGATTTCACGGATTTTTCAGCAAGTTGGAAT